GAGTTTCGACAAGGTCCTACACCAACGGGGTATTGAGAAGTGTTCAATCGTACCCATTCCTCTTTATGCTCAGTAATTGAGCGAGCCTTTGGTGTATTAAAAAATAAGTGGAAGATTCTGACGAATATGCCAAGTTATCTGTATGAAAGCAAGTGCAAATTGTCATAGCGACAATGGCTTTGCACAATTATATATGAAGAAATGCCGTGATCGATACGGATTTTGAAAGTGCAGAATTGGATCCCAATAATGGATATTTAGTTGATCATGATGATGTAAATGAGGGGATGAGTGATTCAAATGATAATATATCTTTTGACATGGTATGCTTACGTGATGAAATAGCTATGAGTTTACAAAGTCGTTAAGGATGTTTGTAATATTTAAGGATAACGTATTTCATTCTTAGGGACATATGATTATATGTATTATAATGAAATAACTCTTTCTATTTGTTAATATATTTCTATTACATTATTTTTGACGCGAAAATATAAAAGTTAACTTCATTATTTTTTTTACTTCTATTTTAAACAATTAAAATTTAAAAAAAACTTAAATTGATCACATCAAAGGACTTTCCAAATAGATATTTACCAAATTGCTTGCATTTCCCCAAAGCACTTTTTAATTATAGTTTGCCAAATAGTCTTGCATTTCTCCAAAGCCCTTTGTGCTAAATGCCTTTGCATTTAGCCAAAGGCTTTTCCTAAATGCCGAACCAAACAAGCCCTTAATTTGAGCTTATGGTTTGCCCAGAATGAATTTTTGAAGTTTGCCGCACATGCTGGACTTATTGCGAATAGTAGCTTCAGGGCAGATTTTTCTTTGGTTTTCAGCTAGTTTTTGAGTCGGCTAAGTTAAGGGTTTTGTAGTACGTCGAAAGAGCTTTCTATGGTCTCTAAGTTTGCTTGAATCGGAGTTCGTAGGAGGAAGTTACGGCTTGAGCAAGTTTGTCGCGCGAGCTGCGCATAGCGGACAGCAATGGTATTCGCTATGCACGAGTTTGCCGTTAGCGCATAGGTGTCGTTTTTTTTCCATATCATTGTTAACACAATATAATAGCAATCCGTACGGGACAACTTAACAATTTACAATAATGCCACAAGCACATGCCATATTATTTCAATGTTCACTTGTTTAGTCTCACGCCCGACTCACGAATTACGCCAGTTATCCACCGGTCCGTGTAAGGCACTCCGGATTACGCCGATTTACTAATCTGTCCGGCTTCCGTAGTTTATTGACCACATGCATCTCTACTCCGAGGCATTGCGATTTGCTAACCATGGCATCCCCACACTCAGCTCAAGGGTATTCTAACTCCTACGGGGTATTATCAACGCAAGGCTCGATGGATATCCCTTATGATGGATTCATATCGCACAACTCAAGCACTTTTTCTTATACATACAGCAACAAAACCATTTCACGCATACATTTCATCATATCTAACAAGTACATTAAATAACATATGCCATAAAAGTGATTTAACACCTTATTTTCACACACTAGCTATTCATATCCATAATTTCTAGAAATCTCTTACCACAAGGTAACCAAATTTGCATCACAATTCAATATCATATCGAGACCAATCATGCCTCATTGGAAGCCTAAAGGGTGTGGGTTCCATCTCCAGAAGACACGGTATTGTGGTTTGGTCATTTTCAAGTAGAAAATCATGAGTTTTTGCCGATGGGTAAAATTGTACAGTTTTGCACGACAATAGTAATCAAGGCTAAAAACATAGTAAATGATCCCGAAAAATTATGAAACTTGAATATGTTATAGAAAAGACCTCAAATGACATTTTCATGAAGGGTATGAAGCCCAAATCATTCTGTAAACATGGCTATTAGTCACTCAAAGTCAAATCACAATCAACCCGCTGGAACAAAATGTCTGCTTCTCAATAAAGACCCATTCCTCCACTTAGATCATCTCCAAATATCTCGAAATTTTTATATGTCATAGACAAAAAAGTCCCTTACAACTTTCGAGAAGGAAATTTGTTAAAAATCGCACTGGAAAATTTTGTGGAAATTTGAGAAAGTACGAAGATAATTTTGCAATACTGGATAGATCAAACCCGGTTTGAAGGTAGGCTTTCGTCCAACCCAAATCAGCCTAGAAAAATCTAGATTTAAAGTAGTATGTTAAACTTCAAGAAGTGGTAAATAACTTTTATGAGAACGAATCCCCAAATTTGACCAACAAAAGTCTCTACAAAAATAGAAAATAGACAAGGTACAGTAACTACAATTCTGAGTTTTAAAACCAAACTCCAAGAATCCAAACCCTAGTTGATACCCACGAAACTCAAATCCAGAGGTCTAAACTAATATGCAACAGCCATTCCCACCTTCATTCAACAATTTAAACCCATCATCTTCACATGCAATTCGATACAAGCACTAACAACTTACATGCAATCACTTTTAAAGCCAAGAAACCCACATGCACTCACTATCCAGGTCTAGAATTTCACATGCAAGCACATACAAGACCAAAAATCACACATGCAAGCAAGAGACATTCATCTACAGCACATTACAAGTAAAACCAAGCATGTATAGGGATCAATAGGCTTAGAATCAAGCCATTTCCCTTGCCTTGGTGATACTAGAACTAGGATCCTTCCCTTTTGAGCTGCTGGTGTGACCTTCAAGCTTGAAAATGGAAAAAAAATGGCATGAAGATGAAGATGGAGATGGCGGTGAGAGGAAGTGAAGGTGGGGGCGTATCTCGACCAAGGTTGAAAGGAAGAGAGGATATGTGAAAATGAAAGAAATGAAATAATGAGAGAGTAGGGGAAAGGGGTCGGCTGAATTGGGGGTTTCAGGGAGAGAGAGTAAGTCATGGTCTAGCTCTTCATCATTAGCCCCTAGAAAGTGTATCAAACAAGCTTCTCACCCTTGTATGAATTCTCATTGGCTGAAGTGGGGGGCCATGCATAATTACGCCCCAAAAATTCATTAAATCTCCATGCAAAATTGGCACTAAGTGGCCGTCCATGCATAGGGTACATTAGGATTATAATCGTGTCCTATGTTATGTATATTAGGTGTACATAATAGCCACACAATGCATACATTAATGGTCGCTGTCCCTAAATTATCTTAAATGGTTATTTGGAACACATAAACTAATTAAAAACAATCGTTAATATTGAAACAATTCCCCAATAATTCACTAATTGATGTAACGAATTTTGGGATGTCACAACTGAGGGATCGACAACGAATCAATCCACCGATCATGCAAGTCGACCAGGGCTATTCGGCCATGGATCGGCTGCTCGTCCATGAGGATTAGTCATGCGACAATCACGCACCATCATGGATTGATGAAGAAAACGGTCATGGATCGATCCCACGTGACTTGTGACATCCTGAATTTCGCATATGTGCTTAGTAAGCCAAGAAAATTGATTTTAGTGTTGGTGATCGAATTTATTTAAATGACGCATCTTCAACGGTCATTTATGGAATTGAGGAGCAATGGCACTTAATCTATGTCTTGTCCGAAAAATTATAAGAGCCTATTGGATAATTCATAGTCCTAAATTTCAGTACTTAGAGCCCAATTTACATGATGCAGGATACAATTGAAATGTTTTTCTCACACCATGCTTAGCCGGCCACCTTATATCACCTATACACTTCAATTTATTAATTATTAAGGTCTAGTAATCATTATGGCCGCCCTTCTTGTCCAATAGATTTTCATGCAAGGAGATCAAAGAGTGTTTAACACTCAACATGACCTCTCCCTTTACCCTTCACTCAGCTAAACTCCCTTCTCCCCCTCACCCTCATCTAATCATTTTCTCTCAAAAACTCTCTAAAAAACACAGCAACTAAGGAGCAAATTTCGGTCTTTGAAGCTTCAAGGTAAGGAGAAATTTCTAGCTACTAATCTTCTTGGTCTTCTTGATGCCCCGGTTTGATTGTGGCTCTTGGTTTCTTTTTGTTGTTCTTGGTCTTGGTTAGTTCTGTTGAATTCTTGCTGAGATAGTTCATGCATGTGAGTTGTAGTGCTTGGTCTTGATGATTTTTTATCTAGAGTTCGCAAATCTTTCAAGATTGGGTAAATTCGTAAGTCTATAAGCTTTTATTTTTTTAACTCGAAACTGTCTGACCCTTACTATTTGCTATTTTTATGTGGCATTTGGTGTGCATGAGATTGCAATTACAAGACAAATGCCTAAAATGTGTGAAATGAAGTAACTGTTACGAGATGACTATCGGCCAGTAAATTGATAATGCCCCGTGGGAGTCGGGATGCCCAGGCCAGCAAACCTTGGATGCCTCGGCCAGTAAATCGAGATGCCTTAAAGTGAGATACCTGTGGCCAGTAAACCACGAAAATCCAGCTAGTAAACTGGAAGTGACCCGCATGGACCGGTCAATAAACCGGTTGAATCATGAGATGGGGGTGGAAATAATCACATGACAACCAATGAAACTCGGCATGTGAGTCATGTGTGTTGATGGGCAGTATGTTCTCGAATTGTTAATTAGTTTTGCATCGTAATTTCACAATGTCTTTAGTTCATGAGTTGTTGTGACCCTATGCCTTCATGTTCGTGAATGATGTGTTTTAAGTATGTTTTTAAATGTGACATGGGCGGAATGAGTGGTTTAGAGGTTAGACATCTATGTAGCACCAACACGCGACACGACATGACACGACACGACACGCGACACGTCATTTCTCAAAAAAATAGAGAATTTCGACACGTTGGGACACGTTGTATATTAAATATATATTTTTATATATACATGCTAAATTATCATTTTTATGATCAAGTCTACAATTAAATAAATAATACAAACATAGACTAGAATGAATTTATACTAAAAACATTAATTCACCATTTGTTAATATCATTCATTGTTTCAATTTGACAAATTCAACTACATTCCTTTCTAATAATCCATAAACCTTGGAGAGAAAAAAACAAGCAATCCACATTCCACCATTAAATTTAACAATAAGTCAAAAAACAAAAAACAATCCACATTTCACCATTAAATATAACAAGTCATTCATCTACATTATCCACTTCTTCTGAAAAAACAACAGACTCCATCTCTAGCTCAGCAAGTGAAAGACTCGTAACTTCAAGCACTCCAACGTCTTCAAATGTGTCAAATGCATCTCCACCAATATTCCACATCTTGGTCTCTCCTTTTGCATATTGTAGACTTTTTCTTGATAGAAGACGTAGGTTACTATGAATGAAAACCAAATCTTCTGCACGTTTTGGAGTCATTTTATTTCTCCTCACCGGGTGCACAAAGGAGTAAGTACTCCAATTCCTCTCGGTACATGATGAATAAGAAGGTTGTGCAAGAAGCTTTAAGGCTATGCTTTGAAGCATGGGTGCACTTTCACCATGAAGAACCCACCAAGCATTAGGATCCATAGAATACCGATTTTGAAAGGAATCAAATTTTCTAAACTCCCTATTTTTGTACGCAAAATCCACATACTCCAAATTCACTTTGGTGCGGTCATCCAAGTTATGAAAGTATTTCCTAAGGCATTTTTTTCTTTCTTGGATGATTTTGTTATCCTTGTATGGAGAAACTCGAGAAGGATATTCATTGAGCAATTGATCACTATAGTACCTAAACCATGATAAGTAAGAAGAGTATTATATTATCATGTCAAAGAAAGAACAACTAACAAAGTAATAATCTCATACAATTTTAGAACTTACTTAGGATTCAAGGCATGTGCCAAGCAATGAAGTGGAGTGTTGTTTCTAGTCAAACTATCCACAAGAACTGTATGAACCGCCTCATGAAATGTAGACTCCTCATCTAGCATTTTCACTTCATGCTCATATATAGCTCTTTTCACTTTTTGAATCATTGAATCTCACATGTCATAAACTAAGTGAAGACAAGGCTTGTCGGTGTCACAAATTCTAAGCATGTCATAAATAGGAGCCGTAAAGGAAAGTATATAATCAATGGAATCCCACCAAAAATAACCCAACTCCTTTTCCTTGACAAACTTAGCCCTCCCTTGATTATCATCTCGATATATTTTCCATTTGTCACAAATAACTATGCTTTGAAGACCATTTTTTATTAACTTGAACCTCCTAAGCATCATAATCATCGAAGCAAAACGTGTATCCGCTACGGAAAGCAACTTCAAGTTAACAACCTCATTGTATATTGCTAATCTCATGGAATGGTTCACGATGAAACATTTGATATGCATAACTTCCGAAACAATCTCAGAAATCCAACTACATTCTTCATAAACTTCATGATTGGTCTTTGTATTATTTGCGGCACAAATGTTCTTCAAAGCTAAATTAAGAGTGTGCACCACATAAGGCATCCAAATAATGGATGAAAATTCTTGCTTAATAAGCTGTCCCGCACTCTTACAATTTGAAGCGTTATCCGTAATCACTTGGACCACTTTCTCATGCCTATTTCATTGATTACTTCTTTAAATAAGTTAAAAATGAAATGCATATCCTTTGTTTCTCCCGAACAATCAACCGACTTTATAAACATAGGTTCTCCATCCAATACTACCATAAAATTAATAAGTGATCTCCTTTGTGAGTCACTCCATCCATCACTCACAATACTAACACTATTCTCCCTCCATATGTCTCTAATAGGTGTACACAACCTATTAATATTTGCCTTCTCTTTTTACAACAAAGTGGTCCTCAACAAATTGTATTTCGGTGGTACATATCCCGCAATATTATGATTAGCGGCATAAGTAAAAGCGGATTAAAAGTAAAGGTTCCTTGCTAGGTTAAAAGGCAAGCCCACCGAATAAAACATCATAGCAATCTCATAATCTAAATTTTCCCGTTGAGTCATGTTGAATGCCTTCTCCAGTGATCCTCCCCTCCGACTTCCAATCTTCCTTTTTTTGGAGTATGAATCCATCTCACCAGTACCGCCACCACTAATTGTCAAACTAGAAGGGGGCAAAGGTACATTTTTAGGCGCAAGACTCGCTAATATAGTATTGACCTCTTCATCTAATCTTTCCATCTCCAAAAGATTGTTTTTTTCTACTTTTCCGCATTTTCCAATTCCTTTTCCACTTATCATCAATAAATGGGCCCTCACTCTCGTATATGAACTCCTAAAATCTTTTTTGCAAAAAATTGGATTTCCAAGACAAATTTTCCCCTGCGTTGCTATGAGTAGCTAGCTTAGTGATATACCTCCATAGTGGTTTATTCAAATTTTCATTAGTAGATGTAGGCACTTGTGTACAAGAAGTGCTACCACCTATGCTTGAAGTCATTCTACAAAAAATACAATTACAAGAACTATAAATTTAATATGTACACCAAGAGAAGCCAAGAGAAGCCACATGACATCAGGTATAAATTAAACTACCATGGATATGACATCGTTCAAGAAAACCTAGAAAGCTCTAATGATATTTGTAAAATCTTAGTGAAATGACACTGAATAGCAACTTTAAAATGCTAATTTGGGATTACTTTATTCAGTTCTATATATATCTATTAAGGTTAGGAACTAAAGCAGAGATTGATACCTCATAATGAAAAATCATGAAGAGGATTACTAATTACACGTGCATTGATATATCTAAATGGACTATATTCCATAGAAAGTTTGTGCTTTTCTTTCTTTCCTGAGAAAAATGCTTAAGCTATTGAAGACCATCATGAAAATAATGACTCTACACAACCTTATTTATTGGTGTGGAACTCAACCCTACCTAACACCTTGTTCAGCTTCATATTAGCTTCTTCACATAAGCCAAAACCAAGTAATGCCCAAAGTTGTTTAGTGCTTGCTCTCTGAAAAGTTTTATTTGTTTTAGGCTATAATACTATTTATGTCTTACTTACATGTGTAGCTTCTCATGTTTGACATGGATCATCGAAACGTAGGCTGAAAGCATCTAGGACTCAGGAAAACTTGACGGCGATATGGTAATGTTGTAAACAATCATACAAGAAGAAGTAGAGAGACCTTATTGTCCGAGGTGCATAAGGAGAAAACTCACTGATGTGATTATAAATTCACGGCACCACCAACTTACATGCAATTACAGTGTTGAAAAGGTGTTTGCTTCATTAAGATATCACCTTATTCCCTCTTCCTAAGATTGAAATCAGCATTGAATGTGCTCAGCCTCCAGAAAACAATAGGTATTTTTGGGCTCAAAAGGTATGAAGAAGATGGGTATACCGGATAAGATGCCCACTCAATTGCATTTGTTTGGTAGCACATGCTTGTTGCTTATAGAAATAGCTTTAAATTCTAATTATTAAACACATCCAGAAAAAATCACCAAGAACGTCTCTCTCGCTCAATTCTAGCGAATCTTACTGAGGCAACCCTACATCAAGTAGAATGAGTCACGGAGCCCTAGGGTAGACAGCGAAGAACTAGAGATTGAGCGAAGAAAAGCAGTACAATTAAGGGAAGAAACAGAGAGAGGTGTACCTAGCTGCGGCGGCGAGCGGCGTGGAGAGAGCCTCACGGTGGTCGTCGGTCGACAGAAAAGACAGAAAGAAGAGAATTTGAGAGTGGGAGGTTGGCTGGTCAAGCGAAGAAGATGGGAACAGAAAGAGCATGTGTGTTTGGCCCCTTTTCTTTCGGTTTTTCTTTCTTTCTTTTTTATTTATAAATTTACATTTTGACCCCTAAGTTTTTGAAAATTTATAAAATTGACCCCGTACGTGTCGGAATCACTTGTCGAGATTCTAGACTCGTGTGTCGGAGCGTGTCCAAGCATGTCAGTGCTATAAAGTTAGACATTTCTCTTGTTGAGCGTCAGCTCACTCTTATTGATTTTCTAGATATTTAGCTATGGCAGCCCTACCCACTACTCTAGTAGCTCGCTATGGAACTCCAATAAACTTCAAGGGTGTATTGCAGGAGTTCACCGACCCCACCTTTCTTTCTGTTCATTTTGTGAAGTACACCGCTACCCTATGGGTTGACATAGGATCACCAGCTAGCCCCATTCCATATCATTTTGTTGCGGTCTACGCGAAGGTTGGGGGAAGGCTTGTAGGACCGCTGCCTTATCCAGATGACAACAGTAGCAATGATAAAGAGAGTGATAAGGAGTAGCAGGGTAGAGCTGTGGATGTTGTTGTGTGTAGTGGGACTGCTTTTGGTGACACGGTCATCACTTTTTGGCTACAACCATGAGGATGGGTGATAGGAGATGGTGGCAGTCGTGGGTGTCACATTGATGGTATCAAGGGAGTAGGGCACCTTTTTTTTTCTCCCAGATATAGTTTTTTGCTATAGTGTTTGATCATGATGTTACTCAAATCGCCCATGTACATAAATAAATATATGGAATGAAGATGTGATATTTGTGTTGCGTATGTGTCAACTGAATGAGAAATGTCTACTTTGATTGTGAATTGTCTTCCGCTTGTGCTATAAGTGAAAAGACTAAAGAAACACGTTAGTATGTGACGCTCTGGGACATCACATATGTGCCACTCGATTCTCCTAATAAACTAATAGTAGGATCTCCTTCCTCATACCTCTGTTTAAATGACTTTTTCTTCAGAGGTTGCTCCCTAGGGTTGGTGACTCGATCAAATACTCTAGGCCGCGCATGTTGACCAATATTATGAAGGTTGCCCATGGCATGTCGTTGACAATCATTCCTCTCGATCTAGGTAGGGTGTCTACTCGGTAGTGTGCTTTCTATGGGTGAAGGGCAACTCCCTTACCCAATTTCTCGTTTGCATCTAGCACATAAGTTTGGTTTATGCGCTCTCTTGCCTCTGAACTTTGGTGTAACCATCAACATGAGAGGAAACGGGTCATCATCAATCTCTATTGAGCTTTTTCCTTCTCATCAGCGAACTTGATTTTACCTTACCGAATTGCTTCTTAAACATTTTTTTCTAAAAACAATGCAATCGGCAATACTGTAGCTCCACGAATGGTACCATTTACAATATTTCTTATTTGGTAATTCTTCATTATCTGGTATGATTTCCCCTTCGTTTAACTTAACTTTTTTTGGCCATAAGTTAAAAGAAGGTAAAAAATATCGTCCATCTTATTCACATCGAACAAATAGAACTGAGCATCCTTGGATTTAGCCACGATGTTTTCCTTCAATTTCTCTTTATTTCTTGCTTGTCTTAATGCTCAACAAATATATGGCTCATCGATCACTATTGTAGCCACAACTATTTCTGTGTATTCCCCTTGTTCTATACCAATATCAGGCTCATACATGTCAACAAAGCAACACCATGTTTTTCAAGTTTTATATCCTTTTCTTTCAACAAGTTTATACTTGTTTGCCCTAGTTGCCTTCTGGAAAAGACTATTATATGGTTGTTCTTCCATCCTTTCCCATATAGAAAATTTCATGCCTCCAAAAGCTATCTGGGTAAAAAAACTCTTTTTGGCAAGGGTAACTGACATCTATTTCTTGCTTTCCTGAATCGGGATATATATTGTCCTACCGATTCATTGTTATATTGTTTCATAAGTGCCAGCTCTGCAATAGTCACATCGAGAATAACCCTTCAAAGGCCACTATGAAATGGGGTTTCCATCTCTTCCCAAGTATGGACAGAATTAGCAGGTAGGCTATGTACCACGTGAAGGCCGTTTTTATAGTGATAATAGGAATAATTTTAACTTCTAGCAATTGCCATACGTAGCATCACCACACAGTGTAGTAAATCAACTCATATGTTCCGATATTGATTGGTCGTCTTCACTAGAAAAGAGAGGAAATTAAGGTATATTGAAGCCTCTTGGATAATGTATAGCATCCATCTAGTCTGGATATGTTTTTTGGATACTAACGTGATAACCCCATATCATACCCATACTGTCTCATTGCTAGATCAATTTGTTGATTTGGCCCAATGGCCACCGTAGGAGGCGTTGCAACAGGCTTTGCTCCCAGAGCAGGTTGTGGCATTAGTTGTGCCAAATATTGCGGAATCGATTGTGGCAATAATTGTGATATTATTTGTGGTATTGCCCATGGTACATATTGTGGGAATGGTTGTGGATTGTCTTATAGAATTGGTCGGGGAAATTGTTGAGGGACTAGCTATAGGAGTAATTGTTGAAATGGCTGTGGCACTGGCTATGGTAGTGGTTGTTGAAATGGCTATGGTACCTCTTCCCCCAAGGTGGAGTAAGAGATCTACCTAGGTTATTGATGTCAGCATTTTGCCTATACGAAATAGGCGCTACAGTAGGTTGAGGTATCACATTATCTACTAGAGGTGCTGAATTAATAAATTACACATTCTCAATATTTGGGAATGGTGCATTTGGTTGAACACCTTGATTCACCGTGTTGCCAATAATATTATCAGTAGAATTACCTTGAGCAAGAATATGTACATTAACCCCATCAGTTAGCATTGGTCCATAGGTCTAGGTGCCCTAATGGTTTCTCCACTTTGCAAAATTTTGAGTGGTGGCGGGGGTGGTATAATCTGCCCCACAATATCAAAGGTAATGAGTAGTGTATGAAGGAACATACCTAGTTGGTGTAGCAGCAATAGGAACAGCATGCACCTGAATTGAATCGCTCGGCATCCCATGTGTCCTTGAGCTCATTTCTGGAAAGTATTGATGATTAGTAGTTAAATAACATCAGCAAGATGTTTCGTCGTATGGTAAACCACCTCATTTTTATGCTCTTTGAACATCCTCCTCATAGTAGATAGCAAAACTGGACTAGGCTCCATTTGCCATCTTTGTTCATCAATAAGCCGCCTTGGAATAGGAGTGTCTCCACCTTGTGCTTGATCGGTCAATTGGGGTATTGTTGAGGACTCGGCACATCCTACCATCTCACTAGCAGGTGGTGGAGACAAGTTATTCCCACCAACATTATTGGGTTCAAGTTGATTTCTTGTTCGTGCCATCATATCTCCTTAGATCAGCTACACAAGTTCCACCGGGCATGTCAAAAACATGTTTCGTCAGAATTGCTCCTACAACGAAATATCTTTTATCGAAAGTAGTTCTTCAGCTTTTAATGGAAAGAGATTGGGTTCTATGGTGATTTCGGACAAGAAATATCCGAGTAAATACAGAAATTGAACACTTTACTCCCAATGGAATATACAATCACAAGTTGTGCCATAATTCAATATGGCAAGACTTAGAAAATACAATCGATATATACGAACCAAATGTTGACGAAACCTGTTGAAATTTAATCGACGACAAAGCTTGACAACACGATGATACCGTGCTAGAATTTAATCGATAACGTGAATATAAAAGCTACAACTAAGAAAAGTTAATTGCAGTATATGAAAATAAAGATAAAGATTAATTTGTTCGATTTATGCGGGGGGTGGGTGTTCCGGTTGGATGGTTTGTGGTTTATAATGATCCAGATTTTAGCTGCTTCCTGACAATTGCATTCTCTTTAAGTGGTTTCCCTTCAGTGATCTTTGCGTTCCTTCATTTTTGAACTGCTTCCCGACGATTGCATTTTCTCGATCGGCTCATGTCGCTTCCTCTCTTCCTCTCTGAGAATTTGATGCCAATGACGTGCTTTTAAACCCCAGCTTTGGTCACGTTGCACGATGACTACTCCACAATCTATTTCACCGGTTGCTCAAACTTTCAAGCAGAATCCCCTCCAAAAGTGTTAATTCATTCCTCTTCGATTTCAACTGCTTTGCCAGTTTCCAACTCCGTGGTCATACTTTAATGCTAGAGGCATCTGCTGGTGGCTTCTATCGTCCCGGCTGTTTTGCTTTGACTAATAGCTATGCTTCAATGTGTGTCTTCTAAAAACCTTGTTGATTTCCTTTCTTTCTTCGATCACCGTATATTGACAGCTGAATACGAATATTTACCCGTATCAATTATGAGTTTAAGATACTGATCACCTCCGTTGATAAAATGTCACATGACTCACGTGATTCTTTATTCTCATGCCGAAATCACGTGCCTATCCATGTCGACGGCTCGATTGTTTTTGGTGTAGACACATGTACTATTGAATTCATCCACTATATTTCTTAAGTTAAATTTCTTAAAATATAGTCTAGAGACAAGAATCAAGAAACGTCCATTATCATCCGCGGCGGGGGGCGGAGGGCGGACATCATCCTAGTTAAAATCTTGAAACAAAGAACAGCCCACACGTGCGGGTAGTCTTCCTCTACTCTTCAGCTAGGGTTTCTAACCAGTCTCTCTTCCATCTCTTTCTTGGCACCTCTTCTTCTTCTCCTCCCTTCAACCGCAGAATCGCCGGAGACCGCCACATCCGGCGACCCAGAATCCGAAGTGCCCTCCAGATCGCAATTCGCAGGATAACGATCGATTTCGGAGATACCCACGTTCGAATTTGGGCTGCGTTCTCCATCGCTAACGATGGGCGAGGCCGGAAAGCGATCGCGCTTCCAAAGGGACTACGAGGGCGAGAGCAAGAATCCGAAGAGACGGGCTGTGGACAGAGACGAGAAGGGCAGTGACGAAGTGGTCGTGTACAGGATTCTTTGCCCCGATGGGGTCATCGGGAGTGTGATCGGCAAGAGTGGGAAGGTGATCAACACGATAAGGCAGGAGAGCAGGGCGAAGGTCAAGGTGGTCGACCCGTTCCCCGGTGCCAAGGATCGGGTCATCCTCGTCTACTGCTATGTCAAGGACAAGAAGGATGTGGACGTGGACGACGATTTCGATGACGACAAGCCCCTATGCGCCGCGCAAGACGCGCTCGTCAGGGTCCACACCGCCATTGTCAGGTCCCTCGCGGCCTTCGCGGAGTCCGAGAAGAAGCGGGCCGACAGGGACGAATGCCGGATTCTGGTCCCTTCGAGTCAGTCGGCGAACGTCATCGGCAAGGCCGGAGCTACAATTAAGAGGCTGAGAAGCAAGACGAGGACGAATATCAAGGTTACCGCGAAGGATGCATCTGATCCGACTCACTCGTGTGCCTTGGAGTTCGACAACTTCGTTACGGTTAGCTCACTTCTGAACCGAGCTGATACTCCTTTCTCTTTTTTTCCCATTTTGCTATGATTCCATACACAACAGATGCCAGCGTTAATCAATCGATTTTGATGTAGAAAATGGAACATTAGTTGATTCGAAGCCTTCTTTTTACGCCGAATAGAGTTAGCAGGAGTTTCTCCCTTCTTCGATGAGTGCATGCCCCGCTGGCTGTTGTATGCTCGCTGCAACTTTTTGTTAATCATAAATAATCCTGGGCCTTGTGGCATGATTCTAGCTAAAATGGAAATCACCAATCTTTTGAAATAAAGATAAACTGAACTACGTATTACAATGTATGTGCATACACACTGGCGTGCACACACATCTCTTCGAAGCCCTGGTGCACGGCAAATGACCGAACTTCTGAGGGTAATACTCTAGGATATGGCCCATAATATTACATGGATTAGTTGTATTAGGTGGTTTTCGATATGTTCTTGCAGGAACAGAAAAGAGTTGATCCCAATTTCCTAAAATTTTGAGTCACATAGTTATCATCAATGAGAAATGTAAGACATGATTAAAGAAAAGGATTAGTCGTAAGATTGAACTCTCTCTTATATTGCATTAATGCCTTGACAATGGTACTGGGCTCTTGAGAAATCTGATATTGCAGTCTTTAGTAGATGTCTATTCTTTTTTCAATTATTGCTCTTGAAGTGACTTCTATGGTTGATAAACATCATTAGTACTGGGGCTTAAATATATAATGTAGGCTCTTGTCAAATTTCCTAAATTAATAACAGGTTCATGTTTAGATTGATATGTGTTGAAGAACCTCATTTAATGACAAAAATTCATAACGACTAAAAGAATCCAAGTTTATAGTGGTAAATTTAGATATTACATTTGTGCCCCCTTAAGCTAATATTTTGATTGCTTTTCTGCCTATGATTAGAACGGGATCTTACCATTCTATTTGTGAGTATCTGGCATATCAATCTTAATCATGTTTTGCCTCTGGTGTTCATGGAGATGACGTGCCATGAGCACAATCTTTCCTTTCTCTACTTCAAATATTGAATGTCCTGGAGAATAAAGTATATGTAATGTGGATGCTCAGTGCTATATCCTAAAGATTACACATTGTGCATTGCTCCTCTTTGTTTTTGGCCGTGGTAAACTGTTGATGTTCAGCAGTTTTAAATCCCGGAATTATCATGAAGACCACCTTTAATCCTCCTGGCACTGATGATCGACCAATGGGATGGTTTTAGGTTGCTATCACTTGAAACTTGTCCTCGACATGCATTTTAACATGCACTAAGCAATTAATGGAGATCTGCAATGCCTGAATCGCAGATGCGATAGGGCAGCACCTATTGAGTGTCGACGGATGAAATAATCTGTTATAGTATGGCAATAAATTTTGGAAATATCCATACTTTCTATTTTTTGATCTCGACGAAATATCCATACGTTTTTTTTTTTTTTTTATCTCAAGGAAATATCCATACGTTATGGTCTAGAATATTCTACGGGGCTGGCAATGTAAATTACATACAGTGGTGTAGTGTAGACTCAATAATGGCTGGACATGAAAACCAGCAAAGCATCCTGGCAGACGTGAATATATTTATTGCAAATATTTCGTAATAGATTATTTTCTGGGAACTGCTCAAGAACTATCTGGGGATTATTGGTTTGCAACTTCAGAGAGTCAAATGAGAACTAATTTAAAGCTCAGTCATGGATATATTTCGAACAATTTAAATCCTTCTCAGTTTAGTTCCAACGGGCGTTACATCTTTTGGTGGTGGTAAGTCGTACTATGAGGAGAGCAGCTTTAGTTCTTTCTACTGGATTGTTATTTAGTACTAACTTTAAAGCTGTTTTGACTTGGAAATTAGAAGCTTTCTTTTTTCTCTGCATAGTTATTGCGAGGTTAGACCTTTTGTTTAAGGTTTTTATCGTTTGGTAGAACCTTGTGGAATGTTTCATAATATCTTGAAGCTTGCGGGAATACAAAATTCAACTATTTCTAGTTTCTGATTTGTCTTCTGGCACTTTTAATGGGTAAGATATTATTTCTTTTCAATAGATAACTGGGGAATCAGACTCAGTGAAGAAAGCGTTATATGCGATTTCTGCAATTATGTACAAGTTCACTCCTAAGGAGGAGATTCCTCTTGATACATCTGTGCCTGAAGCCCCTCCAAGCATAATTATCCCTTCAGATATTCCCATCTTTCCCCCTGGTGGATATGGGAGCACTGATCCTATTATTCCAGGATCAGTTCCTCCAATCTTGGGTGCTGCACATTTGTCTGAACTTCAAGGTTATGGGGATCCAGGAAGCACATGGTCGGCCTATTCATCTTCTCTCCCGGTGGTTTCTTTTGGTGGTGGCTCCCCGTCTGAGGAGCTGATTATCAGAGTTCTATGCCCCTTTGACAAGATTGGACGTGTTATTGGCAAGGGAGGAGGCACAATTAAAAGCATAAGACAGGCGAGTGGTGCTCGTATCGAGGTTGATGATTCTAAGGGTGACCGTGATGAGTGCATAATCACTGTTATAGCAACTGAGGTACCTCCTTCCTTCTTTTACTTGTGGCATTTCCTGATATGTTTTTGCAGATTTATGATGCCTAGTTTCTCATGCTTTTTGTTCCATATACTGGAAATCTAGAAAGCTTTGCATCAAATATTAATAAATGTTATGATCTGTAAAAGTGCTGAGATGCTTAGGATACTTGGGAACAAACTGTTTTCGTTTGATTTTACGAAAGAGTTGTTAAATGATGCTCTTTTTAGAGCGACTTGAATAAATTGGGGTGTTTCTGCTTTGCTGGATGCATAACGAATGCTTATGTCCTTAATACTTATGATAAATGTTTCTTGACATGGTCTGAACTCTGAATTCTTGTTGTCAGTTTTCTGCGATTTTCAATTTGGTGATTCATAAGTTCTTGATTTCACAATGCTTGCTAATTGCTATGCTTTACAAAGTTTTAACTTTCCCCTATTATAACCATTGTCTATTTTCTTGTAGTCACCTGATGATATGAAATCCATGGCCGTTGAAGCTACTCTATTGCTTCAAGGGAAGATCAATGATGAAGATGATGATACTGTTTCTATGCGACTCCTTGTTTCATCAAAAGTGATTGGATGTATAATAGGAAAAGGTGGATCAATTATAAATGAAATTCGGAAGAGAACTAAAGCGGAAATCCGAATTTCGAAAGGCCAGAAACAAAAAAGTGTTGATTCAAGTGAGGAACTTGTTGAGGTTTGCATCTAGTCTGTGCATACTTTTTTTAATCTATTTTTATTTAGTCAATGTTCCATATTCATCCTCTTTGACCTGTTAGGTATCGGGAGAAGTAGTTAAGGTGAGAGATGCGCTTATCCAAATTGTGTTAAGGTTGCGGGACGATGTTCTCAAAGAAAAGGATGGAGTTCATAACCATTCTGTGGGTGCTGACTCTCTTGGCAGTGGTCACTCAGTGCCTTCTGCCTTGCCTTCAGTTCGTCCTGTTACTTCATTGAGTTACGATCAAAAGGCTGATGTTGCAAGTGGCTTGGGCATGCTCTCTTCAAGCAGCCTTTATGGATATGGATCTTTGTCGGTATGTGTTGGCATTTTTTTTACATATATCATAATTATTGCTAATTACTATGCTTGAATTTTCCACTTCTGAAATTATTTGTCATTTCTTTGGGAACCTATAAGGGTATTAAGAATTAGTTGAGTGATGTACGTTATTATATGCACTGTTTCATATTTCTTCAAGCCTGAGAATAGATTTGCACAGCCTCTTAGCAGGCATCTTGGGTACAATTCTTTACTCTTTGTGTATGATTGTCTGTTTGAGGCATTAAGAGGTTCTTAGAGAACAATACAATTTCTTTTGCTTCTCTTGAATACATAAAATATAAAGTCCTCATAATGATGTTTAATTGGAATGGAAATTATCCTACTTATGAGACAGAGGATATTGTTATTGTTCCTTGGATTGTTTCCTTGTGATGGTAAAAAAGTTCGCTGTTATCTGCTAGGTAAATTCGGAGCTTCTAATAGTAGGAGTGGTATGTTGGTTATGATACATTTTTCCTATATTAAATTTTAAATGCTGAACTTCTAGTTGTGAGAGCAGCTAGTTAAGTCTCTAAAAGCGGCTGTAACTCTATGTTTCCCATCTTAATGAGCTTTTTAATTGTTTCTGTTTATAGATGAATGAAAGTGGCTATGGATCCTTATCCTCCTATTCATCAAAGCTATATGGCGGGTAAGCATTCTGTCCTTTCATGTTTCATTTGAGAATTACATCCTGTCAACTTTGACATTTCTTTCTGTGTGCCTCATAGATTACCTCCTCCATCGACTCTCGAAATAATTATCCCTGCAAATGCAGTGGGTAAGGTAATGGGAAAAGGAGGAGCAAATATAGCCAATATTCGTACGGTAAGTGATTAAGTTTGTGATGTTACCATGCTTTTGTGTGATTTTATTCCTTTTTTCACAAGTTTGTTGGTTACTATTTGATTTAACTTTGTTAAAGGGGACTTTGATGCTGCTTAGAGAAAAGCCTATGTACATAACATTACCCCTGTGGATATGAGTTATATCCACTTCATCCTTTGTTAGGTTTAGTTCTGTCCTTTGCTCAGTATGACTGAAAATTTCATGCAAGGTGTACACGTGTCATTCTTGTTCTTGTATAGATGGCATGCTTCTTCTTGCACGGCCTTTCTGTTGAAGGCCAGATCTACAGAGTGAAATTAGTACTAGAGTACAATGTAAGATCTCCCTAATAAAATCTCTCTTTTTGTTGTAGATATCCGGAGCGATGGTAGAAATCTCTGAACCCAAATCATCTCGTGGTGATCGCATTGCTCATATATCTGGCACACCAGACCAGAAGCGCACTGCTGAAAACCTGATTCAAGCATTCATAATGGCCACTTGACATGGAAGCTCTTCTTGGTATCTTTTGGTGATGGGAGTTACCTTCTGTGAATGTTTTCTCCGTAGTTCCCTTAGGTGGTTCGTGCAGAGGATTAGTTTATCTCCTCTATGCTCTTCTCCTGTTACTTCCTAGCTCTGCCCAATGTCCCATGGGAAGAAAATGTAGCTTGCTCTATATTTAGAGGATATAGGTTCTTCTGTGCTGTTTTAATCTACTGGGCAGCTATGGTTTGGGGCTACTTATCAGGATCTTCCTTTCCATTTCTTGAGTTTGTCTGGTCTTTTGTCTGGTCTTGTCAGTAACTGTTGACTTCGCATCTTTTTCCAGTGTTTAGTACTCTGCTAACTGATTTCCAATCCGAGGGTCGTTTATAGATATATTCATCACTGTTCTGGTAACCATCTTCTTACTCTTAACTTCTTTCAAGGAAGGATATTTTCTTCTCCATCTGTGTTCCACGGTGCTGTTGATATTCATTTACACATTTGTTATAATTCTATCCATAGCTCCTTGATGGGAGGATATTCTCTATTGAGAAGATGAGGAGAGGTGCCGATGTATGAAGAGATCTCAGAGAAGAGGAATTATCTCGGCTGCAAAAATCTCTAAAAGCATTAACTTTCTCTCACTTCTTGATTCTGGATTGGTGTCATAAAAAATTTAGTCCATATCCTTATTCTGTCCATCTGAAAATTGATATTTTGTTGTCAGATCGGTGTTTCATGATTCATCGAACAAAGTTCTTCATGTGATCTTCCCTTTTAGGAGCTTGTTGGGCTGCGAAAGTCTCTAAATTATATTTCCTGGACCTTCTTCACCCTTGTCCTTTTGCCGTTGTCTTTGCTAGACGCGGTTGGCTGTCCATCCAAAGACACATCAACTGTAGGACCTTTATGTTTAATTATCATTATCGCATGGAATTCATCATGTCAGCTTTCTTTTGGAAAGCTATTTTGTATATCTTGTCCTCTATTTCTTCGGACAAAAACCGATTAATAGTTACAACTCTTGAAGGATGGGCATTTCAACAAGTTTTTTCATGGTCTACGCATAGCTTACATCCTTCCCTTTGGTAAGCAGAAAACCATTTTAGTGATCGAGTTATAGCGAATGCAACTTGAGGTTCAGTCATGATGAGCTCCACAGAAGGGATAGATGGATTAAGGAAAGAGATTTTTCTTTTTCAAGACATCTTTCTTTTATATTGGAATTTTTTTATGCGTTTTCTCAAGACATTTTTCATCCTTTCTACTCTCTTAGGAATGAAAAAAATTCTCTCCACCAATGAAGTTTATGGAGTACAACACGTTTTGTGTTTATGATAAAAAGTTCCTTGGATCATAGTCTAGTATTGACCTTGCAGCTTTTGATCATTCTTCAAACAGTCTTCCTTTCTCTAGAGGATTATGAACTTTCCCAATTCCCTTCAGTTTGCTGATTTTGTGACTTATTCTTTAAGACGTTTTTTAGCATACCTCGAATAAGAATTTTTCCATGAATCTCTAAGTTTTTTGTCTTCAGTTTGGATTTGGTTAACCCAAATATAAGGCATCTTTTGAAGTTGTTGGCTTCACTAAATTTTTTTAAGCTTCTTGATGGTGAACCATTTTATCTTGCACCAGAATGCTTGTGGCACTGGTGCAAGAACATACGAAGCTGATGCTGACCTTGTTACAACATCATTTTTGAGGAGACTCTCGGTTCCCAGATGATCAGACATTTGGGACCACTTGAAATTATAACATCCGTCAAACATGAGTTAAACCATTCTCCTTACAATTTCAACTTTAGTACCTAGGGAGTTCTTTGACGCACCCGAGGAGCGGTGCTTTGGTTTAGCTCATCGCTCCGTTTTTCAGCTTGGTCAATTTTCTTCCTGGACTCATTCTACCCAATTTCTGTTTTATTGATTGCTTGTGCTCACTACTCTACAAGAAAACTACTTCATATATGTTCTTTCACTAAGTACGATCAGCTATATGAAGTCTTATACTGTCATGCTCTACTGACTGCGAGTGGGGTCAGCTATGGGAAGTCTTTTATTCCGTCTTGCTTACTTAGTCCTACGTTTGTTGTACATCTAAACTCAGTGATCTTTCTTTCAAAATTCTGCCCATGTGGCCCAATCAGCTGAAGGTCATCATTCAAACCACCTCAAACTAATTTGTCTCACATGTCCAAACCACCAACTTTTCCTTGAAATATATTTTTTTCTAATTTGATCTTGTCTTGAGTGCTTACTCTTGTACCTGAGTACTCTAATCTCCATCACACTCATTATGCACATAGTTGTGTTACATTTCATGTCGTAAAGCATCCTTGTCTCGTTGTTGTCCTATAGAAGTTTCTTTGAAAATGAATGGCATTTTCCGATAACCGTTAGATATGTTTGTCCTTTCTGCTTCTGTTCTTTTAGTGACATCTCCATCCATTTTTCTATCCTTTTTGAAATGAATTTAGCTGTCAGAATTTCTTGGTCTTTGGTACTACTAGGCCTCATTGTTTTACCATCACGTACTATGAATCTCTTCCTTGACTGAATTTGCATTCCATGTTTTTGTTTTACGTTAATTAAAACAAGAGCCATTAGATTTCAAATTATTCCCTTTCACTCAAAATTCTAAATTTCTCATTTTTCAAATGCTTAAATGTATGTATTGAAGGAGTTCGAGAGAAGTGAGGGGAAATGGTTACCTAGAAAAATATTTCCCCAAAAGACTAAGTAGGAAGACATGGGGAGAATTATTTTTGTTTGGCCACATTAATTTCCTTCCAACACTGGAAGGCTTGGGAGGCAAATTAACTTTCAGAGATTTCTTTTGCCAAATGTGGTCCTTTATTTTGTTTTCAAAACAAATAAGATAGAGGTTACTTTATAGATTCAATTAAATTTGTTTCCCTCCACATCTTCTTTTCTATGCATATCTAAACAAATGAGGAATATTACAATTTTTTTCTGGTCTTCTTTCCATTTTACTTTCCTTCCCCAGATTTGGACATTGAAGAAATGGTTACCTAGATAAAAAAAAATTTCCCTTGTTTGGATGATTAAACAAAAGAGGAAATAGAAGGAAATGGGGAGAATTATTTCTCTTTGGCCACCATTAATTTGCTTCCAACACTGGAAGGCTTGGGGGGCAAATTAACTATTAGAGATTTTTCTGGCTGAATGTTGTCCTTTACTTTGTTTTCAACACAAATAAGAGAGAGGTTACTTTAGAGATTCAATTAATTTTGTTTCCCTCCACGTCTACCTTTCAACGCATATCCAAACAAATTAGGAAAATTGCAATATTCTCTTCTTTCCGTTTCCTTTATTTTCCTTCCTGCTCACCTCCCTGTTCACGTAGGTTGAATTTGTGAATAGTTTTATAAATCAGTAATGTTAGTTAATATTCTGGAGAGAGGAGTTGAATTGAGAGGCAATATAAGAAGACGTTTATTCCTAAACTGCTTGGACATGCTCTTTCAACAAGGGAATAGATGAGCATGCTTGTGTTTTGGGCTTCATAACAAGTTTTCACATTCTTTTTGTTTATTGCATGTGCTGGAGTTCTCTGATCAGCTATTGCACATCTTTTGTCAAGTCTGATTCAAGATTTGGACATTGAAGAAATGGTTACTTAGGTAAAAAAAAATTCTCTTGTTTGGATGATTTAACGAAAGAGGAAATAGAAGGAAATGAGGAGAATTTTTCTCTTTGGCCACCATTAATTTCCTTCCAACACTGGAAGGCTTGGGAGGCAAGTTAAGTTTTAGAGAGTTTTTGGCTGAATGTTGTCCTTTACTTTGTTTTCAACACAAATAAGAGAGAGTTTACTTTAGGGATTCAATTAAATTTATTCCCTTCCATGTCTTCCTTTCAAATCATATTCAAACAAATGAGGAAACTTACAATTTTCTTTTCTTCTCTTCTTTCCATATCCTTTATCTTACTTCCCGCTCTCCTCCCTGCTCACTTAGGTTGAATATGTGAAAAGTTGTATAAATCAATAATGTTAGTTTATATTCTGGAGAGAGGTGTAGTTGTATTGAGAGGCAATATAAGAAGAAACTTATTCCTAAACTGCTTGGACATGCTTATTCAACAAGAGAATAGATGAGAATGTTAACCAAGATCAGATTCAGACATTGAAGGATTCCTTAAACGAAAAAATATCAACCGAGCTCATGTGTCTACATGCAGTATAGTTAGCAAACCTAGGCTGTCGAACTTGGAAAACTGCATTACCTTTTCCCTTTCAAGAGTATTGTTTCCTAGCTACATTGTTAACTCAATGCAGCAACTTTTCTATTTTGAGTTTGTGCCAGATGTTTTACGACATTTGAGTGTTGCTCACCATCTGGTTTTTCATTTATTATCTTCCTCAAGTATAATCTGATACCCCGGCATACATATGGTTCTTCTGGTCATCTCCGGACTAATGTATATCTCTACTTAAAACTCTGTTGAAACATCAAACTCTTCGGTTTTCCTTTCTATTGGGGCTAGTTTGTCTTTATTCTCTTCTAGCATTTGTTCCATTGCTGATCTCCTCATGTGCATCTAAGTGTTCTTCGTTGGATTGGGTGAATCTCTCTCTCTCTCTCTCTCTCTCTCTCTGGGTTCATTTGTGTCTTCTTGCCCCTATTCTGGAATGGTTTCTGGAGGTGGTGAGTTTGGGGTGGAGGAGGAAGGCCTGCTGGAAGATGTGGAGCAGCAATAGCAGTTGATGGTCTTGGTGATGGTTTTTAAGAAGATACTCTAGATTATTATTTGCAATGTTTTCCCTGAGAAATATGAGGTGTGGAATATGTCCTGCATCATCTTGCTCTTTGCTTTTAGATGGCAGATCTGAGATGCAAGTGTTTTGCATCGGTCATGTTCAACTAGCCTTTGTATGATTTTTTCTTGGAGCAGTGACAAAATACAGTTTGTTAGGTTTCAACAAGTGGTGATCTTATTTATAATGTTATAACAGATGCACATTTTTTGCTTAGCTGGTGGTGTCATTCTATCTTATTACCTTTCTGTCGCAATAGAAGCATCCTTGGGAGACAGGGAGGTTGGTTGAAAGTTGAAAGCGTGCCGTTTTATCTGTGTGAGAGAGAGTATCGGCCAAGTTGTTGAAGGAAGAACATTCTTGTGTATTGTTAGGGTGGTTGCTTGCTGCTGGTTTCATTGAAGTAAAGAATATTATGTGGCAATAATCACACCAAATCTCTGTTTCTCTAGACATTTGTCCTAAATGTTTTTTTCATTCTAGATTGATTGTGTGCTCATGGGGATATAACTGGGAAGTTTGTTGTAGCATGTCTTTTCATCTTTCTTATACCGGTGAGGCTCTCTGCTTGAGAATGTTAGTGATAGTAGTTTGCATTCTCATACGGTGGTGCTTTGCCATGGACAACCCTGAATAAGGCAAGAGGGAATTACCTTTCTGAACCAAAACTTGGGACTTTCATGTTAATTTATCCTGGTCCCATTTTGATTCTGTAATTGATTCAGCCCGTCGAACTTCATGGTTTGCTGAAAGTTTTCAGAAACTTTATGGAATGATGAAGAATCATTTCTGAGTTGTGGGTATAGGCATCTCGAGGGATGATCTGCCGTTATTACCTGAAAATGTTTTTCATCTTTGTGTGCTGGGTGCTGTTGCCAGGGCTGTCGCCTGGGGCGTAGGAGAACGATTGTAAACATGACATAGCGATTGGAGACATCAGTACTCTGGGTTGTATGATTGGTCGAGCTTCAAAGTGCTCTGAGCTTGTCCTGTTCGAAACTAGTAATGGTCAAACCGATCTCGAGCATAGAGTCATACTTAGTTCGAGCTTTAGTTGAAGTTTCGAGTGTTGCGTTCATGAGCCTCGTCGAGTTGAGATTACAACCATTTCGATTTCAACTTGATTCAATCACCGGCTCCCCATTCTCTCGAAAAGCATTGTATTGATATTACGAAAAGACAACATTTAAGCATAGTGGTATGTACTTATTCCGCCAAAGAAAAGTATAGTTCGAGAAAAAAGAACTCGTTCAATTTGGACATGACTTCTATTAATATGTTTTACGAAATTAAACATTTGTAAATTCAAATGCTACGCAAGTTGACATAAGTTCAAATTATGATTTAACTAATGAGTGTCTCAAGACGTTTATAAAATAATCAGTTAAAGAAATGTTACACTTTATAATTCATTACTTTTCTAGTCTTCTGTGTTATCCACGTTTTGAACATATAGAAAGGTTCCTCGTTACAAATGCTTGCTTGACATATACCTAAGGTTTCCTAATCTCTACAAGTATTACCTTAAACTTCGTCCACCAACGCAAAAAGGGTATCGTCCATGCAGTTTCAATGGCCACAATTGGGATCGATGTCTTCCATGAGAGATTACTGCAAGCCTCTCCCAAAAAACACCAGAAAATTATGAGTTTTATTTGGAATTGATGCAAGACTTGCCAGTTTCATTTGTGAGTTTTATTTGGAATTGATGTTAAGACTCGTCAGTTTCATTTGGACCGCAATACGGATGGTAAGTGACCATGCCATAGTTTCATTCTACTGCTTGGCTTGTTCTTCGCCGAGATTCACCTGACCACTATGGGATGTATTGATTCCTGCAGAGGTTGACATCAAAAGGGCTAAAGTAGGTTCAACGACGAGACATCGTGCAAGAGGCATTATGCGAGAGCAATTATATCTGCTTCTAATTACTAGGAAGGGAAACGTGAATCCATTGCCTTTTTAGATGAAGAGTGTACTTCTAAAAATTAATTTGAGTACAGTAAATGGATGTGTTAATCCAACTGAACTATGTTTGAGTGGGTGGTTCTATATCTGGAACTGAGAATCGGTGAGTACTGATACGGTTCAGTAAATTGAAATCGGATTTCCAGACCGGTCCATAAGACCGTCGACTTTGGGCCAGTCCGGTCAGATTCCGGGCGTTTCGGTTGCTTTGCACACCCTCTGCGACTCCTTTCCCCTAGCCACTTCTTCCTCGCCATGGACTCGACGCGAATATAGCGCTGGTTTTTCTGTTGATTGCTGCGTTAAAACTCTCTCTCTCTCTCTCTCTCTACCATCGTGACTCTCGCCGTGAATCTGAGCTGCCTTTCGAATCTGGAGCATTGATTCCGAGGTGGGTACTCTCATCTTTTGCGCTCGTGTTTCAGTTTCGAGGTTGCATATCAAGTCTGAATCTCTCTCGATGCAATGCAAAGAACACTTCACAGGACTCGAACTTTTTGTGGTTGATTGGCCTGCTTTTGCTGCTACCACCGACGGGATAGTTTCGAATTTCGTTCTTTTGTTTTTGTAGAGTTCGAATGTGTTTATCCCCTCTTTCTTCTTTTAATGAATTATGTTTCTGGGCGATTAACTGATTTGTAATTGATATGAAAGCATTATCATTCGTAAAATTAGTGCAATCTATGATCTGGGTTCTGAATGTTGGTTTAGGAAAAGGGGATTGACAGTGAGAAACTACGGGTTTAGTGGTTTTTATCCTAATCTGATTTGTATGATTGATCGAGCTTCAAAGGGCTTTGAACTCGTCCCGTTAAGAAACTAATTGGGTTGAGTCAATCTTGGGTATGTTGATTCCAGCTGAGTTCAAGCGCACAGTTTGATTCAGGGTTAGAGGTCTTGTCGAACTTTCGGGTCTCGAGTTCATGAGTCTTATCCTGTTGAGATTTCAGCCATATTAGCTCGACTTGACTGGACTCAGTTGCTGACAGCCTGACCTCTTGCAAAGCAAGTATTTTGTGGGCGGAAAAACTGTTAGACTCCATGGAAATATTGAGAGGAATAGTTTATACGCTTTGTGGGGTTCACTGTCACCATCTTGTGTTTGTTTTCATGTCTTTTGATGAATTGATGTTACTGAGATCCTCTGGTGCCTTACTTGTGCAATCTAGTGCCTTTTAGTGCCAGTTAGTTCAGATAAGGAATTGCCCGTTCTTGTTTTCCTGGTAGGTTATGTATTTATTATTGAAACACTTCGATGATTGGGTCAGGAGTATTTCAGATATCAGATGAAAGAGCAGTTTTGAGCATCAAGCATGATGATTGGTTATGTATTTATTATTGAAACACTTAGATGATCGGTTTGGGCGTATTTGAGATATCAGATGAAAGAGCAATTTGAAGCATCAAGCGTGATGATCCTGCATTTTTAGGTCTGACTCCCGAGTACTACACATTAGTCCTTATGTTATGCCCTGTTTTTATTCTCTAGGTAATTGCCAAGATAAGCACATTAACATGGAACAACAGAGGGTGGAAGCACCAGTTCCAGTAGGAAACCCGGATGGATCTGATATTGACTCCTCTGGCTCAGATTATGTGTCCCGGGTGAAGAACTTGTTGTTTCGTCGAATGCTGGTGGGGATTAAAGATGGCCGGTTTTTCTTGGGTGCGTTCCACTGCATTGACAAGCAAGGGAACATTATTCTTCAAGACGCTGTTGAGTATCGCAGCACTCGGCGCTCTTCTCCTTCTCCAATGGAACAGCGCTGCCTGGGTTTGATTCTCATACCTTCATCTTGTCGTATCTCTTGCCATGTGGATTGCTCTATAGAAGAACAATTGTCACTGCTTTCACTAAATCAATAGAGACCAGCTATATGGGAAACACAGGTGCTTGTAGATAGGGGAGAACAGGAGTTGTTGCACACCGTAGCTTAGCAAAGACAAGCGTAGATGTAACCGTTCTTTCAAGAAGGCATGGTGGTGGAACTCTTTTGCAGGCAGAGGTTTCACGGTTGCTCCACTCCCACTCCCTTTTTCCTTATAGGGTCGGTGCAAGTGAACAGACTTGGTGAAATATGGCCATCAACATTCTATTGTCAAAAAGAGGGGAAAAAGTCCTTTTGTTTGACTTTGACAGTCACTATTTCCTCCTGATTTTGTTGAGAAAGGGGATTTCTTTCTGCTTTCAAATCTTTTGATGAATTCATTCGCTTTATCTCTCAGGCTGGGCATGGCATTTTAATTTTTATCGTTTGATAGTCAACCAATTCATCAAAATTATCAGTGGGGTTGTCATGCTTTTTCATTTCTATAGCCAATTAAACATATCACCTGAAGAAATTGCGCCTAAGATGTTTTAGGCTTGTGACAGAATGGTTCCTGCATACTGCACGAAGAAGTGACATTGTCCATCTAAAGCTCTAGTCCTGGTACTCAATTCTGTGAACTTTGGGTCGTCGGTGGTTCTTTGTCATTGGACCATCTTTATTTTGCGATCCTTTCTCTAGCGTCATGTAAATGAGTCATCTGGGTCGGTCAGCATTTAGTTCCTGGTCATAGTGAATGATTTCTTATGCTCCCTGCGGTTTTGGTGAACATGGTATATAAATAGATGAGGAAGTTACTGATAACATAAGAACATTGGGCTATACTATTCATCTCACTTGGAGTCGCATTCAATGAGTCAATGACTGTCTTTTGTTGCATTGAACTTCTTTTTCTTTATCCACCTGAACTTAAGTTATAGGCACAATGAAGCAGAGACATAAATGCGCACTTGTTCACGAGAAAGAAAGAATTCTGTAGCGTGTGCAGTAATCGTTCATGCTTTTAGAATGCTAAAACTAGCCTCTGCTGCTGTTTCCTTCCAGAGCTTTTGCTCTGTGTCGTTGGATGCCCACACATTTTAAGATACACATGTTGGAGACATGTGCTACAAAGAATATAGGTTGAAGACTTCCATGAATAATTATGTAAGGAAAGGATGTTTCGAAAAAAAAAAAAAAATGTTTAAAGGAACATTTGATAACCACAAAAGTTGTTGACTTAGGGTGCGCATGAATACCATTCTGCTGCGGGCGCTATTTTCGAACGTAAATGATTTTTTTGATTACGTGTCTAGGAAATAATTTTCGAGTATTTGAAGGCGTTTGATAAATGTCCAAAATTTCTATTCCTAGAGTAGAAAAGAACATAAATGCGTTTAGAACTACACAAAATTTCGTTTCCCAAATAATATTTTAATAATATTTTGAATTGTTTAAATTTTTTTTTTTTTTACTTTCTTCTTTGGCCATGGCTCGCCGCGCCGCCTGGCGACGGCCATGCCCAGTGGCCGGCGAGAGGCGTCACGGACCTCGCCGCCGCCGGCGGAGGCGAGGTCGCCCTCGCCGGCGGAGGCGAGGTCGCCCTCGCCGGCGAGGGCGGGTGGACCCCTCGCCGCCTGGAGGCGGCCTCGCCGTCGCGACCCACGGCGAGGCTCGGCCGCCGTGGGTCGCGACGGCGAGGCCGAGCCTTGCCGTCTCGGGCGAGGCCGACCTCGCCGTCGCGGCCGACACGGCGAGGCTCGGCCTCGCTCGATCCGGGCGAGGCCGACCTTGCGCGTCGCGACCGGCGGCGAGGCTCGGCCTCGCTCGATCTGGCGAGGCCGCCTCGCCCGCGGCGAGGGTCCACCCTCGCCTCGGGTGAGTGGCGACCTCGCCTCCGCCGGCGGCCGGCGAGGGCCGTGACGCCCTCGCCGGCTCGGGCGTGGCCGTCGCCGGTGGCCGGCCACTGGTCGCGGCGGCGGCTCACCAAGAACAACACCACAAAATAAGAAAAGAAAAAAAACTGATTCTCAAAATTGTGCCGAGAAACAAGAAGCAACTTTTTTGTACTTCTTGTTTCTCTTCCAAAACTGTTTCTCGGCACAAATTTTTGCAAAAATGTGCCGAGAAACAAAAAGTTTACCAAACGCATTTCTGTTCCCAAACTATTTCTGGGAACAAAAGAACAGAAATTTTCACTATTTGGCACGTTACCAAACGGGCCCTTAGTGGTAAAGAGGTCGCTTGTCTTTCGTGAGGTCATGAACTTCATTCATGTCGTGAGCGAACCTTTGAACAGCTCATGCTGTGTTTCGTAACTTGGCATACCTCTCACGGAAGACTCGATGGCTGCTAATATCTTAGTAGGGCCGTAGTGACTGACTCGCTAACCTCGGATGCTCGAGTTAGGAGGTGGTGCGGAGTAATCATTGCTCAAACTGAACATTCCATAACCGGTGTCGGACTCTAATGGTAACATCGCGAGAGTCATGCTAGTTGCCCCTTACTAATAAAAAACATAACATGTTTGATGAATTGCCTTTTGCATTTCAAATCAGTCAAGCAAGTTGTTAGTTTACTAAAGACCTCTCCCATGACACTGGGTTAAGTTTAACACCGACAGGGCCTCTAATGGCGATCATGACACTGTAGCAGTGGGTGGGTTACTCAGGAGCGAGGATGGTGACTGAATTGGTGGTTACATTCACCTGTTTGGATATGTGCTTTTCGTTCAAGGCCGAGCCTATTGGCAATTTCTACCGGCTAGATCTAGCGTGAAAGTTGAGATATCGAAATGTCATTTTAGAAATGGTTTCTTGGAGTGTGATGGACATAATCTTGAAGGATGGTTATCTTCTCAGAGATGCGGATTTACTGATTCAATAGATTGCACATCTGCTCTTACAGCAGCAGATCAAAATCCAACACACAATCAGGGAAGGAAATGGATGAGCCAATTTCCTTGCTAATTGGGCTTGTTCCCATTAACTGTGCATTTGAGCAATTTCGTTCAACCTCCTCCTGAAGTTCAACTGTTGCTTTTGGGAGACAAGATGAATGTTAGTTTTGCTAGAGTTCATCAAGTTTTAACTTAATTTTGTACTTTATTCTTAGTAATCCAATGTCTGGTCCTTGCTCAAGACCCTAAGCGCGAGCTTAATTGAAATCTACTAATCCTTGGTACTTACAAACCATGTACTCCTAGGCTTCTATTAGTGTCTTTACACAGCTTGGTTCTTTCCTGATGTGCTAGAGCTCTTCTTCCAGAACTTGAACTGCAATGCCCTGTGCTCCAACATCTTCTCCACCTCCTCGATCGGGAGCCCCTTCGTTTCCGGCACATAGATCAGAACAAAGATCAACGCCCCGACCGAGATTACGCCGAATATTAGGAATGTCCACGAGGTCCCAATTGCCTGGGTTAGAGACAGGAAGGACTGGGCCACGATGAGGTTTGAAATCCAGTTTGCCGTGGCTGCTATACCTCCGCAAACCCCCCGGAACCTCAGAGGGTAGATCTCGGAGTTGACGATCCAAGGCACAGTGCCCATCCCAGGAGAGAAGAAGATGATGTACAAGGCTAGGCCGATGAGTGCAAGCCACCCATACTTGCTTGGGCAGCCCCTCGTGTACCACAGCCGGTCCTCTGCATGGCACGTATCCTTCACTGTGTCATTCGAGATTAAACATGCCCCCGGAAACATCTGCAATAATGTGATATAGGCGGTTCTGGTTAGCTGCTTCAATGCTTGAGACCTAGCAGGCTGATAAAAATAAAAACAACAGTAGGCAATGGGCATGCCCAATGCGTTACAGAAAAGAGAGAATTTTATTTTTGTTTAGAGTCGAGTGATCAAACTTACGATTCTGCCATTAGTGAGAAGCAAGTAAGCTCAAACAAGGATCTATTTTGAAATCGATATTTCAGTAAATGAAGGCAATGACTCGTACCGACTAGGACTACCGAGTGAGCAATAGGTGCTTTACCTTATTAGCAGGTGAAGCGCAAAACCCGCAATCAGGAGAAGAGGCCTTCAAACATTTCATGCAATCCCAAGAAGCGGCATTTCTCGCCGAACCGTAGTCTGGGCATGTGTAGTTCGCAAAGTGAGAAGTTGCAGCCTGGCTAACCAGCGGCGAGTGGGAACTCGTCTCATGAAAAACTGCAGACAAAAGTCCAAGAGATATCATCACCCCAAACAGACTGATCACGAGAAGTTTCTTCCTCCCGGTTCTGTCGATGAAGTATATGCTCACAACAGAACCAAATGCATTGAGCCCGGCTGTGACGAGTGAGAGCAGCAATGCGGTTTGGTTAGAAGCGAATCCGGCCAGCTGAACAATCGTGGGGCTGTAATACATGACGGTGTTTATTCCCACGAATTGCTGGAAGACCTGAAGTCCGACGCCAGCAATTAGCCCCCTCCTCACTGTTTTGGTCTTCAGTAACTTCTTGATGTTTATCTTCTCGGAAGATCCTGTTTCTTGGATCTCAGATTCAACGGATTCTTTGAGATCTTGTATCTCTCTGTCCACTTCATTGGCAGGGTAGATTTTCCTTAGTATGGCTTTGGCTTCTTCTTCTCTTCCCTTTATCGAAAAGTAGAGGGCTTATTAGACAAATAACTGAAGATGAGACTACATAGTGAACAGGGAAATTACAAAAGTGATTGTCAAACAACCCTGCGAAAAAGCCAACGGGGGGATTCGGGCAGCAGAAGCATTAGGATGAACTGCAACAGGGCTGGAATTCCGGCAACTCCGAGCATCCACCGCCACGTTCCTGGAGCCTGTGTCATCAAAATTTAAAGACAGTTTAAAACCAAAGACTTAGGCCTGCCTAAGTTTTCCCATCTTGATACTTTTGGAAAGATGTATAGATTCTGTGGTCTCAATTTGTTTCTTGAAAACTAATCTTCCTCATTCTTTCCTGCAGTTGAACTTCATCTAAGAAGTCCCTCTTATGTATTTCTCACCTTGGTAAAGGCCAAGTTGATCAGGTAAGACAGGAATTGGCCACCGGTGATGAGGAACCCGTTGGTGCTAACGAGGGCCCCGCGGATTTTTGCCGGAGACGCTTCTGAGATATAGAGTGGGGACGTCATCGACGCCATTCCGACCCCGAGCCCGACGAAGACTCGTCCGACGATCAAGAGAGCCGGATTCGGAGCAGAAGCCATGATAACCGCTCCAATGAAGAAGAGGAAATCCGCGACCAGGATCGCGCTCCTCCGTCCAAACCGATCGTTCATCCATCCGCCAATCGCAGCCCCGATGATCGCACCAGCTACCGCCATGCTCACTATGCTTTCCTGTTACGTGTAAGCCCCCCGTGGTAGTGAAAAATAGCATATTTGTTAGCATAACAGTTGATTTCTGCTTTTGGAGGTATGGTCATTCTACTATCTGAGTTTG